CCAACGGGAACATGGTGATGACTTCTAGGGGCTAGCCGCTAGCACTTGGGTACATTCAGCCTGCACATTCATGGTTCCAATCTCGTCTGGTTCCTGCTGAACCAACCAAGATTTGAACCATCTATGGCTTGCTTAAGATCTGAGTCCAGTGCCTCTTTTTTTCGTATTTTATTCTGCACTATGTCTATGTTTGTAGGTTTCCAACTTAGAAGAGTCAGGGCTTTGCTACGATCAGCCTCCAGAAAGAACAACAGTTAGCAGCACAGCAATGACATCACCAAATCTCAATCCGAATCTACTGAGATTATCAGTCAGCGGCAGTAGTTGCTTGGAACATTGAATTTAGAACGAAGTTCAACGATAGACAGCTTTGAGGATTTATGGAGTGCCTAGGAACATTCACATAGTTACTGTTATTTTTCAGGAATTCCAGACAAAAAAATAAATTTTTCTTAGTTTAGCTACAAAAAAAATAACCAGATTAAATTTCCTCCTTCGGTAACATATCTGCACATCTTATATTGTAATATGACGGTCGAGCGGGGGCGATGCCATCCTGGGTGGGCGTCATATGACATCCTCCCAGGATTGCACCTCGTGCACCCCACAGGCTGTGCTGCAGCAATTGTACAGTGAATGGCTTTCATTCAAAGCCATTGAGTACTATTTTGTTGATCTATGTCAGGGATCTCCAAACTATGGCCCTCCAGATGTTGAGGAACTGCAAGTCCATGAGACCTTGCAAGACTGACTTCCACAGGCAAGACTCCCAGAGGCAGAGGAATGAAGGGAATTGTACTTCAACAGCTGGAGGGCCATAGTTTGGAGACCCCTGATCTATGTGATTGGTCACAGTGAACACATGGTACAGACAGGGTCAATCACAGTGCATCTGTACCATGTGATAGCTGTGGCCAGTCACAGCTTCACAATAGTACTCAATGTAATTCATAAAAATGGTTGCTTATACCAGTGATTACCAGTTATAAGCAACCAGTGTGCAAAAAAAAAAAATCCTGATCACTTTCCCAGAGTAGTACAGTGTCACTATGGTAACACTGCTCTGGTCACTGTATGTAAAAAAATCTAAAAAAATGTTTTTTTTAAAAAAAGTTATTTTTTTGTTTTTTTACTTACGGTCATCTGTCAGTGTCCCTGATCACCGCCACGCCAGTTGTGTGATGACACCGTACTGCACTGGTTACAGTAGGTTAAAGAAAATTGTGAAAAAAAACTTTTTTTTAATTTCTTTATTTTCCGAAATATTGTGATAAAAAATTACAACTTCAAAAAACTCGCCATGCCTCTTACTAAATTTCTACTTTCCAAAAAGGGGTCATTTTTTTTTTTGGGGGGGGGGGGTAAATGTACTGTCCTGGCATTTTCGGACCTCAAAAAAAAAAATGAGACAGGCCGTCAGTTCATCAGCATTGATAGATTTACTGTCTATCATAGTTTGTAGTCTCTATTACTTCCCTGCAGACTAAATAGTATGCATACACACACATATACAATTTGGGTTATTTTCACCAAAGAAATGTAGCAGAATACATTTTGGTCTAATTTTTTAAGAAAACGTTTTTTTTTTTTTTTTCAAAATGTTTGGTCTTTTATTATTTATTTAGCAAAAAAAAAACAGTGGTGATTAAATACCACCAAAATAAAGATTTATCTGTCTTAAAAAAAATATTTTACAGTGAATGACTGAGTAAGTGCCATTCAAAGTGTGAGAGCGCTAAAAGCTGAAAATTGGTCTGGGCAGACAGGGGGTGAAAGTGTCCGGTATTGAAGTGGTTATGGTGGATCTCAGGGGCAGCACAGTGGTTAAATGGTTAGCACTTCCCCCTGGCAGTACAAGGGTCATTGGTTTCCCAATCACGGCACCACCTGCCTGGAGTTTGCATGTTCTCCCTGTGCTCCAGGTACTCCGGGTTCCTTCCACAGTCCAAAGACATGCTGGTAGGTTACTTGGCTTCTGTCAAAATTGTCCCCAGTATGTGTATGTATGAATGTGAGTTAGGGACTTTAGATTGTATGCTCCTTGAGGGTTATAAATTGACAGTGCTATATAAGTACATGTAATAAATAAATAAATCTCCACCTCTCCAGGACTGGCTACCTCTGCTGAAAATGGCTATCTAGCTATTGTGGGACATCCTGTCAGCCCCCCATTTAAGTATAATTTGTTATTACAGAAATTTTTTATGAAGCAAAGCTTTTATCCAGACTGACCATAGAACATGGCGCCAACTTTTCATTCTATGCTTCACGTGTTATTCACAATGAGGTTATGGTAAGTATGGGCATTGGCACAGCATACAAGGCATCCATGGACAACAAATTTCCTGTTTGTTTAGCAGGTTAAATAGTATTGATATATATTTTGGAGGTATAATAGATCTAGTAATCAGATATTTCAGTGCAAGATGTAGAAATATTTTGCTTTCTAGTTCTTTAAATAGGAACCAATTTTTTTCTTTATTGTGGATAGAATGAGGAAAGGTTATAACCTGTATAAGTATCCCAGCTTGGAGATTTGCCTTTACTTTCTGTCCCAGAGGCACAACAGGAAGTAGGAGGAAATCTTCCAAACGCATAGAAACATTTTTTTGTATTTACCCTTACTTTCTGGGCTATGACAATGGCCACCAAGGCAAATAGTGAGGTTGAATTTGCAGAACGGGAACACAAACAGATGACAAAATTTCTGGTCCTACCTCATTCAGTCCAAAACTAGAAAAAATATGTGACTATTTATCCATGCTGTTATTTTGCACACAGAGAACCTGTAGAACACAGATGTGGATTTTTCCAAGATTTAATCTGTATCATACATCATAAAAAAAGAATCATTGCAAAGGTATTTCTCAATAAATAGAAAATACTTCTAAAGACAAACCTTTCTTCTTGTTGGCTTGCCTAACATTTGCACATTGACTGCTTTTTCTGAGCTTACAATGAATGGTGCCTCTGCTGGTGATCTGTAGAACAGAGATACTGTACGGTTCAGCAATGTACAGCAGCCATTCTCAACCAAAATTCTGTGGAACCCTACAACTCCCCCAGAGGTTGCATGGGCTTCCTTTTGTAGTGCCTCACATCTGATGCTGCCTGCATAGTTCCAGAGTCAATGCTTCTTGGCAAAACCAACATCCTGACCCAATTATCCTTTTAGATGTCAGTAAGGGTGGCATTCTGACCACCACTGTAAGGGTTGCATTATCCCTACCGACTACCATAGTAAAGGACATTTTCCCCATTAACTCCTGATTAATTGGTTTTAGTAAGGGTTCCCCCGAGACCTGAAATTTATTTTAGGGGTTCCTCTAGGGCAGAGGTCTCCAAATTTTGCTTGCTTTTATCTGGCCCATGGGGCACTTTTTACCCCACTGACACAAAACACTATTCCTTTCCTCCCACTCACACCAACAATGGGGTATAATTCCTGCTACTGACATCAACAACGGGGCACTATTTCTCCCATAGACACCAACAATGGGACACTTTTCCTCCCACTGATATCAATGATGGGGCACTATTTTTCCTATTGACACCAACGATGGAGCACTATTCCTCCCACTGATACCAATGATGAGGCACTATTTTTCCCATTGACACCAACGATGAAGCACTATTCCTCCCACTGATACCAATGATGGGGCACTATTTCTCACATAGACACCAACAATGGGACACTTTTCCTCCCACTGATACCAATGATGGGGCACTATTATTCCCATTGACACCAATGACGGAGCACTATTCCTCCCACTGATACCAATGATGAGGCACTATTTTTTCCATTGACACCAATGATGAAGCACTATTCCTCCCACTGATACCAATGATGGGGCACTATTCCTCCCACTGATACCAATGATGGGGCACTATTCCTCCCACTGATACCAATGATGGGGCACTATTTTTCCCACTGACACCAATGATGGAGCACTATTCCTCCCACTGATACCAATGATGAGGCATTAATTTTTCCCATTGACACCAACGATGAAGCACTATTCCTCCCACTGATACCAATGATGGGACACTATTTTTCCCATTGACACCAACGATGAAGCACTATTCCTCCCACTGATACCAATGATGGGGCATTATTTCTCCCATAGACACCAACAATGGGACACTTTTCCTCCCACTGATACCAATGATGGGGCACTATTTTTCCCATTGACACCAATGATGGAGCACTATTCCTCCCACTGATACCAATGATGAGGCACTATTTTTTCCCATTGACACCAATGATTAAGCACTATTCCTCCCACTGATTCCAATAATGGGGCACTATTTTTCCCATTGACACCAATGATGGAGCACTATTCCTGACACCAACAAAGGGGTGCTATTCCTCCCCCGAATACCAGATGCCTTGTTTGCTCCCACTGATGCCAGGACAATGTCTTCTCCCAATGGCCACAATCTGCCCCCCCCGCCCATGTTTAGAAAGTCTGGAGACCCCTGCTCTAGGGTAAAAAGGTTAAGAAAGGCTGCTGTACACTGCAGTGCACTGTATACTGCTCATATAAACAGTCCATATAAATTTTCAATACTGTAATAAATTTACCCCAAGAAAAAAAAAAAACACACACAATGTCCCTCATACACACAACCTCTTCTGTGCTGTGATTTTTATAGTCTATATATTGGACTTTACGGGACTGGTAAGTCCTATTGTTACATCATAGTTAGTATTATTCTTACGTTCCTTAAAAAAAAAAACAAGAATAAAATATAACAACTTGAGAAATAGTCTTTACAGAAATGCAATATAAATGACTATATGACATCGCCAATATGCTTTCAAGGAGCTCTCTGACTTTTTTTTTTACAATAGTCTTATGTTGCCATCACTGAAGGTGACATCTTTGCTTGGCAGAACCTTGCTCTCCTTTATCCATATGTCCACCTTGTTACTTGGGCCAAATAAAGTTCTTCTCTGGGTACATGTTCAAACCGCCCTTGTGGGGATGCTAACGTGTTTAGCTCATTTTATAGCAAAATACTCCAAATTTCTTGTGTTTTTCTGGGAATCCAAAGCTTCGAACACCAGGTTCTGGAGGTCCACAGTTAAGTCGGGGGAAGGCAATGGGATATCGAACACTGCCATCATCCAGCCATGCAGCATCACAGCGATCAAAGTCCAGGAATTTCCATGCGGCAAAGAGCTGGCCAACTTTTGCGATCTTAGCGTCATCTTGCTCACACGCTTGTTTGGCTTCAGCAAACGTGAGCTTGTCAGGATGCTCTAGGTAGTAAACCCTACCTGTGGGACAGAAAATGAAAAGGGTTCAAGAAGAGATAGAAGATACAACTTCTAATGTTGATAGAGGCAAGGTTTATCCTACTTAAAAGAAAGAATGTTTTTGTCTTAACCATTTGAGCTCTGGAAAGTTTTACCCCCCCCATGATCAGGGCATTTATTGCTATTTAGCACTGTGCTACTTTACACTGTACCCATATTTAATTTCAATAATTTTTCACATAAATAGAGCTTTCTTTTGGAGGTAAATGATCACCACTGGGTTTTTGTTTATTGTTAAATAAACTAAAATTAAAAAAAAAAAACAATATTTTTTATTTCTGCTTAATATCCGATAAAAAAATGTAAAAAAATCTAATTTCTTCATAACTTTAGGCTAAAATCCCAATAAGTTTATATTGATTGGTTTGTGTAAAGTTAGAATGTCTAAAAACTATGGTATATACAAGGGACGTTCAAGTCAGACCGGGACTTTTGTGTTTATATAAGGAAAGAACAAATTTCAAAGGAGTGGACACTGCATTTATTTTTCGACATACTCCTCTGCTACCTTTATACACTTATCCAAGCATTTAACTAATGCCTGGAAAGCTTCAGCCTAGATCTGTCAGTATGCCTGAACCATCCTAGGATAGCCTCCTTCACTGCATCATTATTGTGTTCACAGTTTCCACAGAAAGACTTGTCTCTTGTGCAATTCCATGACAAGTTATGCGTCTATTATCCAGGATCAGGCGTTCCACGTACTGAATGTTTACAGAAATGACTGCTGTGGGTTGGGAACCACCATGGCTGGGATCGTCACTGAGAGACGTACGGCCATCTTTGAAATGTTACATTATTCAGATGTTACTGCGGCTGAGCGCCTCATCACCGTACTGTGCTTGAAGTCTTTTGTAGATATCCACGGGTTGTGTGCTTTGTCCACAAGAAACTTCATCACCGCACGCTGTTCCATGCACGCACTAACACTCTTGTCTGCCATCTTGATTATCGGTCTCTGGACTGGCCCACAACAGGTGTGCCGCCTATCAATAATATAGGCAGCATACTTGCCACTTACTACTGCGTGTAGTACCACCACCCCAGCATCCCTTTTATACCTGTAAAATTAAGAGTCCCTGTGTGACTAGAACACCCCTCATATAATGGAATTTGTATTTATTTATTTTTTATACTTGTAATGGCGGTAATCAGCCATTTATAGTGAGACTGTGATAGTGTGGCGGGCAATCTGACACCAACACTGGCTTGGAGGTACACTAATTGACTGAGTGACAGTGACACTAATACAGTGTCTAAATGGTTAGCACTTCCGCCTGGCAGTACTAGGGTCGTTGGTTCGAATCCCAGCCCCAGCACCTCCTGCCTGGAGTTTGCATGTTCTCCCTGTGCCTGCGTGGGTTTCCTCCAGGTGCTGCGGTTTCCTCCCACACTCCAAAGACATGCTGGTAGGTTAATTGGCTCCTGTCTAAATTGTCCCCAGTATGTGTATGTATGAATGTGAGTTAGGGACCTTAGATTGTATGCTCCTTGAGGGTTAGGGACTGATGTGAATGTACAATATATATGTGAAGCGCTGCGTAAATTGATGGCGCTATATAAGTACCTGAAATAAATATAGTGATCAGTGATAAAACTGCACACTGTCACTCTACAAATGTTTTTTTTTACTAAATATCTGTTTGTTCCTTCTTCTTGCTTTGCAGGGACAAGGAACAGATAGTTCTCTCTGTACAGAGCCCTGTGTTGATTGTCAACACAGGGCTCTGGGCTGTGATTGGACACAGTCAATCAGCAAGTCTCAGCCATGAATCCTTGCTGACAAAATCCCACTGCATCAAATCACAGCGGGAGTCGCCAGGAGGGCGTGTGCGCGAGTCCCGAACCTTGAAGACACAGACATTGTACAGGTACATAATTGTGCCTGTATGAGCCACCCGCCCATAGTAAAATGCTGGCAGGCGGGCCACAAGTGGTTAAAATATTTCTTAAGCCAAACATTTTTCAGCTTTGAATAGTTGTGTGACGGGTTAGAAACCCTGGCAGGTTTTTATTGCCATCTGTGCCCCCCACTGAGGATAGTCACCTTCTCTTTTTGTCCAAGTCAATGGAACTGAAAGTCATGAAAACCCAAAAATTTAGAGTAGTACCAAAATAGTAATAATGAGGAAATCTTCCAATGTGGACACTTGCTCTACTGACAACTGATGGCATTCCATGACTTTGCATAGATTTCCTCTTCGTTCCCCGTTGGGTCAATAGCATAGGAAGTCAATGAAAATCTGTCCAATGGGATAAAGATGGCAGAAATAACCTCAGAGGAGTTTGACCATTCCCTGCTCTTTGGAAAAAAACTTTTGGTTTTAGATATACCTTATGTTTGTTATATTTACACTGAAACCTGAGTGAAAGCTGCTTTTCATGAGGATTATTAAAGCCTTGCATTACGGATTTTCAGTCAGGGTGACATAAAACAAACTCTGTAAGAGGAGATGCTTGCAGGTACCAATGAAGCTCTTGTAATAAACTATTTGTGGATTTCCCGTAATGCACCGCTGACCTAAAAATAAAAGCGGACTTATATAGAAAGAAAATAGAAGAAAGTATCAATCAGCCTATGTTCCTCCAGTAGAAATAATCAAAAGTGAATGAGATGAAAGGGAATGTATAGTGATTTGTATACGATTTACTTCTTTCTTTAACTGGGGTCAGGTTTACAAAATATCACGTTCCTTTTTTGACGGGGTCAGGTAAATCTGAAATATTGAGGCTCATGTACATTAAAGTGATTCTAAAGCCATGTTTCTCAAGTAATGGATCGCAATCCAAAAGTGGGGCATGACCAGGGGCGGACTGGGTCATGGGGCAAGTGCCATCCAGGCCTCTCTAATACCCCAATACAATGTCTGGGGCCCTGACAACATACAGTATTTTTTACTCCATAAGACGCACTTCCCCCCCCCCAAAAAAAAAAATGGGGGAAAATGTCTGTGCGTCTCATGGAGGAAATATGGAGAGGCCGGCCCGTTATTCCCGCCGCCATGTCAGAATACTGGGCCGGCCGCACGGCTCTTCTCTGCAGCAGAACCTTACCTGTTCCTCACTCCAGCACTGTCCTCACGGTCTTCTCTCCCCGGCACCGGCATCTTTAGTGTGGGCACCCAGCTGTGACAGCTTGCGGCTTCACCCACTGCGCATGTACGAGAAGTGCTGCGCTTTGTGAATGGTCCGCCAGTCTTCTGGGACCTGTCACGTGTCCCAGAAGATGGGGAGGGAGGGAGGACAACTCCGTGGAAGTGGGAGTGGGTACCTGTCAAAGTCAGGTACCCACTCCCCCCCCCCCCCCCCCCCCTGTAGTATGTCCGCAGTCCTGGTCAAAGGTCCGCAGTCTCTGGTCATCTCCTGTAGTATGTCCGCAGTCTCTGGTCATCTCCTGTACTATGTCCGCAGTCTCTGGTCATCTCCTGTACTGTGTCTGCAGTCTCTGGTCATCTCTTGTACTGTGTCTGCAGTCTCTGGTCATCTCCTGTACTGTGTCCGCAGTCTCTGGTCATCTCCTGTACTGTGTCCGCAGTCTCTGGTCATCTCCTGTACTGTGTCCGCAGTCTCTGGTCATCTCCTGTACTGTGTCCGCAGTCTCTGGTCATCTCTTGTACTGTGTCCGCAGTCTCTGGTCATCTCTTGTACTGTGTCCGCAGTCTCTGGTCATCTCCTGTACTGTGTCTGCAGTCTCTGGTCATCTCCTGCACTGTGTCTGCAGTCTCTGGTCATCTCCTGCACTGTGTCTGCAGTCTCTGGTCATCTCCTGTACTGTGTCCGCAGTCTCTGGTCATCTCCTGTATTGTGTCCACAGTCTCTGATCATCTCCTGTACTATGTCTGCAGTCTCTGGTCATCTCCTGTACTGTGTCCGCAGTCTCTGATCATCTCCTGTACTGTGTCCACAGTCTCTGATCATCTCCTGTACTGTGTCCACAGTCTCTGGTCATCTCCTGTACTGTGTCCACAGTCTCTGGTCATCTCCTGTACTATGTCCACAGTCTCTGGTCATCTCCTGTTCTATGTCCACAGTCTCTGGTCATCTCCTGTACTATGTCCACAGTCTCTGGTCATCTCCTGTAGTATGTCTAGAGTCTAAAATAATTAAATTATTTTTGGGTCGCAACTTAATGACCAAGGACAAAATGTGGGTCCTGAGGATCACCATGCCTCTTACTTAATACTTCAGACTGTACTTTCCAAAAAGGGGTTATTTGGGGGATTTTTACTGTCCTGGCATATTAAGGGCCTCAAGAAATGAGATCGGCTATCAGTACATCAGGATCAGAAAGACTGAATGTAAGAGTAATGCCATCCATACATGAAGTTGTACAGAAGTCCAGCTACTAATCGACTCCTGTATGACTGCCCGGTCAGATGTTTGCCGCAGGATCAGTGCTGCCGGCTATAGCCAGCAGCACTAATCAGTGTATTCTGATGGAAAGTCTCCCTAGAGCCAGAATACAATAGCTCAGCAGGGAGGATTCCCCCATTCACATCAAGGGTATGATTGTGAGAATTGAGCCCTATGGGCTTAGTGTCCCCCAATGTTAACACAGACAGCAATAAAAACCTAACGGCACTTATCTAGTCTATCTAGAACTGGAAATAATATTTATTAGATTTGATAAAAGCCACAAAACACAATGCCATTTTGAAAGAGCAATTCAGCTGTGTTCAAGTGGATTATACATCGAATTCATAAGTAATGCACACTCACATAGCATGCTGCTGTTTCTGAGAACTAATTCCAGGGAAAAGGTAAATCGATCAGGTTACTGTTTGGGCATAATTGACATTTCTGCATATTCCCTATAACATAAAAATTCTTTTTTTGATTTTTTAAATTCAGTTTCATTTTAAATTCAGCCCCAAGCCTAAGCACACTCACATAGGAAGTAAACTGCAATGTTTTTCAGGAAAACTTGAAAACGCAAGGTAAAATTTAGGGTCCTTTCACACGGGCGTTCAGTTTTTTTTTTTCTTCAGTTCAGTCACGTTTTTTCACAGAAAAAAACGGCTGAGTTTACATCCGGTTTTTTCATCCGTTTTCAGTCCGTTTACATCCTTTGACATCTGTTTTTTTTTTGCGGAAGAAAAATAGGGGTTCCTTCTGGTCCAAAAAACAGATGTTTAATGGATGTGGACATTCACGGATGTAAAAAGATGTTCATCTGTTTACATTCGCAAGTCCATAGAAATACATGGGGGTCCGTTTTTAAACAGACAGATGAAAAACGGACATACGGAACCCCGTGTGAAAGAGGCCTTACAGATGTCCATGACAGAAAATTTTGTTTTGTTTCGTATTCATTTGTTAAGTTAATAATTTAATTTTGTCCTATTTGTTCTGGTAGAAAGATTTTTTTTTTATTTGTTTATATATTCGGATTTGTTTCATATATTCATTATTTTCAAATTAAATCAAAATGCGAACTTCAAAATTTCGAATTTTGGAAGACCGCTATATTTGTTCTATTTTATTCTATTCTATTTTTTCGTATTCTAGTTGACTCTATTCGATTCTTTTATATTCTGTTCTTTTATTTTCTATTTATTCTGTTCCATTCCTTTATTTTCTATTTTATTCTATTCAGTTCTTTTATTTTCTATTCTATGCAGATTCATTCTATTCCTGTACATTCTATTCTATAAAGCAGCCCAAGTAAGAATCATAATTCTATTTTATACCTTACTTATTGCCATGTTTCCATTTTCAAATTAAAATTAAATTATGAGTTCAAATTCATAGTTACATAGTTAGTCTGGCTGAAAAAGGACAAAAGTCCATCCAGTTCAACCATAATTCAAATTCATTTTGGAATTCAGATAATTTTTTTCTTTTAATTTATTTTGGATTCGTTGAAATTTGTTACTATTGTGATTTGGAAATTCAGATTCACGAGACTCCAAATAATCGCACGTCTGATACAATTTTCAGGGGAACAGCTTTTACAGACAGATGAAAAACGTGTGAAAGAGGCCTTAGAGATGTCCATGACAGAAAATTTTGTTTTCGTTTCGTATTCATTTGTTAAGTTAATAATTTCATTTTGTCATATTTGTTCTGGTAGAAAGATTTTTTTAAAATTTGTTTATATATTCTGACTTGTTTCATATATTCATTATTTTCAAATTAATTAAAAAATGCGAACTTCAAAATTTGAATTTTGGAAGACCGCTATATTTGTTCTATTTTATTCTATTCTATTTTTTCCTATTCTATTCGACTCTATTCAATTCTTTTATATTCTGTTCTTTTATTTTCTATTTTATTCTATTCAATTCTTTTATTTTCTATTCTATTCAGATTTATTCTATTCCTGTACATTCTATAAAGCAGCCTAAGTAAGAATCATAATTCTATTGCATACCTTACTTATTGCCATGTTTCCATTTTCAAATTAAAATTAAATTATGAGTTCAAAATCATAATTACATAGTTAGTCTGGCTGAAAAAAAGACAAAAGTCCATCCAGTTCAACCATATATTCAAATTCATTTTCGAATTCAGATAATTTTTTTCTTTATAATATTATTTTGGATTCGTTGAAATTTGTTACTATTGTGATTTGGAAATTCAGATTCATGAGACTCCAAATAATCGCACATGTCTGGTACAATTTTCAGGGGAACAGCTTTTACCGACAGATGAAAAACGTGTGAAAGAGGCCTTACAGATGTCCATGACAGAAAATTTTGTTTCGTTTCGTATTCATTTGTTAAGTTAATAATTTAATTTTGTCCTATTTGTTCTGGTAGAAAGATTTTTTTAAATTTGTTTATATATTCTGATTTGTTTAATATATTCATTATTTTCAAATTAATTAAAAATGCGAACTTCAAAATTTCGAATTTTGGAAGACCGCTATATTTGTTCTATTTTATTCTATTCTATTTTATTCGATTCTTTTATAATTCTTTTTCTTTTATTTTTTTATATTCAGTTCCATTCCTTTATTTTCTATTTTATTTCTATTCAATTCTTTTATTTTCTATACTATTCGACGTATTCTATTCCTGTACATTCTATTCTATAAAGCAGCCTAAGTAAGAATCATAATTCTATTGTACACCTTACTTATTGCCATGTTTCCATTTTCATATTAAAATTAAATTATGAGCTCAAAATCATAGTTACATAGTTAGTCTGGCTGAAAAAAAGACAAAAGTCCATCCAGTTCAACCATAATTCAAATTCATTTTCGAATTCAGATAATTTTTTTCTTTATAATTTATTTTGGATTTGTTGAAATTTTGTTAATTTGTTACTATTGTGATTTGGAAATTCAGATTCATGAGACTCCAAATAATCGCACATGTCTGGTACAATTTTCAGGGGAACAGCTTTTACCGACAGATGAAAAACGTGTGAAAGAGAGCCTTACAGATGTCCATGACAGAAAATTTTGTTTCGTTTCGTATTCATTTGTTAAGTTAATAATTTAATTTTGTCCTATTCGTTCTGGTAGAAAGATTTTTTTTTTAAATTTGTTTATATATTCTGATTTGTTTAATATATTCATTATTTTCAAATTAATTAAAAATGCGAACTTCAAAATTCGAATTTTGGAAGACCGCTATATTTGTTCTATTTTATTTATTCTATTCTATTCGACTCTATTCGATTCTTTTATATTCTTTTCTTTTATTTTCTATTTATTCAGTTCCATTCCTTTATTTTCTATTTTATTCTAATTCAATTCTTTTATTTTCTATACTATTCGGACGTATTCTATTCCTGTACATTCTATTCTATAAAGCAGCCTAAGTAAGAATCATAATTCTATTGTACACCTTACTTATTGCCATGTTTCCATTTTCATATTAAAATTTAATTATGAGCTCAAATTCATAGTTACATAGTTAGTCTGGCTGAAAAAAAGACAAAAGTCCATCCAGTTCAACCATAATTCAAATTCATTTTCGAATTCAGATAATTTTTTTCTTTTATAATTTATTTTGGATTTGTTGAAATTTGTTACTATTGTGATTTGGAAATTCAGATACATGAGTCTCCAAATAAATCGCATACATCTGGTACAATTTTCAGGGGAACAGCTTTTACACAGTTCTAAATGTTCACTATAACATGGCAAATCTTCACTATTTAAATCCATATCTACTTGAGGCAGGAATCCTGACTATTCAGCCAAAGGACAACAGGACTTCTTTATTTAACCATCCTACATGCCTGAAGAATAAACGCCAATCAGAAGCCTGAGTATATCACATGAACAGATGGAAACTTCCTTCAACATAAGTTTTTGTGTGTACCTAAACAAATGCAGGAAAATTCCAGGCACCTTATCTACATTTATGGTATTTTTTAGTAATAAAAACATATATACATTGTTTTTCCTTTTGCATCTTACCTTTCAAAGCAGAAGAAAAGCAGAAGACATCAAATCTGTGCAAGTGTTTGTGACGTTCTCCATAGTTCCTCACCCCCGGAGCAGTGTCCTTTCCACCACAGGGTTCTCTGGGTAAGGTGATGGGGTATTGAACAGTACCATCCATTAACCATCCAGCATTGCACCAGTCCAGACCCTCCTCCCAGGATCTAAAAAGTTGTTCAAATGAAGCCATCATAGCATCTTGACCCTCACAGGCTTTTTTTAGCTTCGTGGAAATTCAGCTGGTAGCGTCCATGGTGAGGCTGATAAGGAAATACAACACCTGGAGACAGAAATATTGGTCAGCAGAGCAATCATTAAAACCTCACAAAAGCATGAACCAAATCTTTGTTTGTCCAGTAAGTACGACCAAACCATCTAAACTGTATCATCTGATCAACAATGCCAGGCTTTGGGGTTTCCGTGCCTGGACCCCTTTTCAAAACTAATGCAGGTGAGATAACTCTGTAAATATTTTAGTAAACTCGAGAGCAATTTTCTCAACCTGTTTACCTTGGAGGAACCCTTGGCAAAAAATCTGAGAACTCAGCAAATTAAATAACGGAATAAATATTAAAATGTACCTATTTAATGTGAAACTTCTGCTTGCTTCTCTCTGCACAGATGCTCAGTTCGTGGTCCAATGTACGAGAAGTAGTGTACAGGGGGGAAGCAGGGCAGGGTATGGGGGATCAGGAGGACACAGTGCATAGGGGTAGGAGGGCACACTACATATGGGGGGGGGGCAGCAGGGCACACTACATGGGGGCAGGCAGCAGGCACATTACATGGGGGGATGTGACAGCAGGGCACACTACATGGGGGCGGGCAACAGGCATGTTACATGGGGGATGGGACAGCAGGGCACACTACATGGGGGCAGGCAGCAGGCACATTACATGGGGGGGATGTGACAGCAGGGCACACTACATGGGGGAGGGCAACAGGCACGTTACATGGGGGATGGGACAGGGCACACTACATGGGGGCAGGCAGCAGGCACATTTACATGGGGGGGATGTGACAGCAGGGCACACTACATGGGGGCAGACAGCAGGCACATTACATGGGGGGATGTGACAGCAGGGCACACTACATGGGAGAATCATGGCACATTACATGGGGGGGGGGGCAGCAGGCACATTACATGGGGGGGGCAACAGGGCAAATTAAATATGAAAAGGGCACATTATGTGGGTGCAGGGCACACTACATGAGAGCAGGGTATATTACATAGGGGGCAGGGCACATTGCATGGGGGTAGAGCACATTAAATGGGAGTTGGACACATTACATGGGAACTTGGCACATAACATGGTGGCAGAGAACATTACATGAGAGCAGGGCACATTACATGGGGCAGAGCACATTACATTGGGGAAGGGCACATTGCATAGGGACAGGGCATATTACATGGGGGAAGAGCACATTATATAGAAACAGGGCTCATTATGGGGCACACACCACCACACATTACATGGGTCACACAGCAAGGCACATTACACAAGGCACACAGCAGGGCACATTAGGGGACACACAAGGGACACATTACACAAGGCACACAGCAGGGCACATTAGGGGACACACAGAGGGACACATTACACAAGGCACACAGCAGGGCACATTTCATGGGTCACACAGCAGGGCACATTAGGGGACACACAGAGGTTCACATTACACAAGGAACACATCAGAGCACATTATAGTAGCAGCTGTACTCTTCACATACTGAGTAGTGCAGGGAATCGGCTGTGATCAGTACTCTTGTGGAGTGTTGTTCCCCCCACCCCCTTCCTCCCCTCCTGTCTGTCCCAGGTGATGTCACATACAAGTACCTGGGATGGACAGAAGGGGAGGAAAGGCTGGCGGAAACTGCATACCACAACCAGCACTATCACAGCTGCTTCCCTGCCTAGCTTTGCATGTGTCAGCAGAGGCGATGCAATCTACCTGTCAACTGCCTGCAATTGACAGGTAGATTGTGGCGGAACCCCTAGAGACCTCTCATGGAACCCTATGGGTTGAGAAACTCTGCTCTACAGCAATCCAGAGGAATCCTTGAAATCATTTTTCGGCCTTAGGGGAATCCTGATAAAACCAATTCACTGGAGGTTAGTTGGAAAATTGCTCTTTACATCAGTGGAGAAGGGAAATAATGCCCCCTTACATTGGTGGTCAAAATGCCACCCTTACAGACAGATAAAAAAGGTCAGTGGTGTCCTGCAGCTGGCAAATGGGAAGCCAGTCTGCCACAGCTCAAGGAACTCCTAGCAACCTCTGGAGGAACCCTAGGGTTCCACAGAACCAAGGTTGAGAATGGATGTTCTAGCGCCTCTCCCATCATCTGGTACTCTCATCCCTAATTTGTCCAGCTGGCTCCTACCACTTACCCTTTCATTTTAGGCTGTCACAAGCAGAGCACTATTCCTCCCACTGATACCAATGATGGGGCAATATTCCTTGCACTGATACCAATGATGGGGCACTATTCTTTCCACTGATACCAATGATGGGACACTATTCTTTCCACTGATATACACTAATGATGGGGCACTATTCCTCCCACTGAAACCAATGATGGGGACACTATTCCTATTCCCCACTGACACCAATGATGGGGCACTATTTCCTCCCACTGACACCACTATTCCTTCCACTAACAACCAATGATGATGGGGCACTATTCCTCCCACTGACACCAATGATGGGGCACTATTCCTCCCACTGACACCAATGATGAGGCACTATTCCTCCCACTGACACCCAATGATAGGGCACTATTCCTTCCACTAACACCAATGATGGGACACTATTCCTCCTACTGATACCAATGATGGGACACTATTCCTTCCACTGACACCAATGATAGGGCACTATTCCTTCCACTAACACCAATGATGGGACACTATTCCTCCCACTGACACCAATGATGGGGCACTATTCCTCCCACTGACACCAATGATGGGGCACTATTCCTCCCACTGACACCAATGATGGGGCACTATTCCTTCCACTAACACCAATGATGAGGCACTATTCCTCCTACTGATACCAATGATGGGGCACTATTTGGCCACCCTAAAGTCTTAAGGACAGTAACCCGGGCTGTTTAGAAAATGTTTGAGACTTCCCCCTGATGCAGAATAATACTGTACTAGATTCACCTTTTTGGAGATGCACTGCTATGGTACAGTGGGTATAGAAAAGAAGCACCCCCCCCCCTTTTAAAATAATCACAATGTGTTGCTTTGCAGCCTGAAATGAAAGTTTTTGCTTTATCCAACTGTATTTACTCAGTGCAACTGATAACATCCAAGTGAAAGATATAACACCAACATGTCAGGATTTTTTTAAAAAATTAAAAAACAGAATCCCTGAGTTGGAAAAAGGATCTCCCCCATGTGTCAACATTTAGTCTATTGTGACATGTCTCTACTAACTTTGCACATCTGCGGACTTTGCAATATTTGCCCGCTCTTTGCAGAACTGCTCAAGTTCAGTTCCATTTGATGGTGACCATTTGTGGACTGCAGTCTTCAAGTCATTCCACAGATTTTCAATGGGGTTTAGGTCTGGGCTCTGATTAGGCCATGCAAGGACATTCATCTTTATCTCCTCCAACCACTGTGGGGTGATTTTTGCTGTGTGATTTGGGTCATTGTCATCTTGGAAGGAAAATCTTCTTCCCATTGACAACTTTCTGGCAGAAGGCAGCAGATTTTCCTCAAGAATTTGACGGTATTTTGCGCCATACATTTTCCCTTCTATCCCGACAAGTGTTCCAGTCCCTGCTGCAGAGAACCCCCCATAACAGGATATTCCCACCTCCATGATTTACTGTAGGAATGGTGTTATTTGGATGGTGAGCTGGATTGGATTTCCTCCAGACATATTGTTTAGTGTTAAGACCAATCATTCAGTTTTAGTCTCATCTGACCAGAACACCCTTTTCCATGTGGCCTCAGAATCTTCAAGGTGCATTTTGGCAAAGCTCAGTGGTGGCTGCATGTGGCCTTCCTTGAGGAGCGGCTTTTTCTTCTGGCAAACCCTCCCATACAAGCCATATTTGTGAAGAATGTGTGATATTCTTGTCACATGCACACAATGACCACTCTTTGTCATCAGTTCCTGCAACTGCTTCATATTTGCTGTAGGCCTCTTGGTAGCCTCTCTGACCAGTTTCCTCCTGGCTCTTTCATCCAGCTTGGAGCGACGTCCTGATCCAGGGAGGGTCTGTGTTATACCAAATGCCTTCCACCTCTTAATAATAGACTTCACTCTGCTTCTAGGCATTGATAAAGCCTTTGAAATTTTTTTCATCCATCTCCTGACTTGTGCCTGTCCACAATTTTATCCTGGAGATCTTTTGACACCTTGCCACCTATAGTTGATTGTTTGCTTCAGTTGCACTACCGGGGACTAATGCAGGCCATAGATGGGTCGAAAATCGGCCGATTTTTCGGCCGAAAATAAAATTGGCCGATTTTTGGATCGTTAGTGGGCTAAATGTTCGGCCGTTTTTCGGTATTTTGGCAGATTTTTTTTATCGGTAAAGTTGGAAAAAAATCGGCCGATTTTGCCGATCGGCCGATTTTCGCGGCAATGATGGGCAAATCGGACGATATTTTACCGATAAAAAAATCTGCGCATGAGCAGTGACCTGCAAGAGGAAGACAAAAAGAAGAAGAAAAAAGAAGAAGAGGATGAAGAAGAGGAAGAAGAAGAGGAAGAAGAAGAGGATGAAAAAGAAGAAGAAGAAGAGGATGAAAAAGAAGAAGAAGAGGATGAAGAAGAAGAAGAAGAGGATGAAGAAGAAGAAGAAGAGGATGAAGAGGAAGGTGAAGAAGAGGAAGATGAAGAAGAGGATGAAGAAGAAGAGGATGAAGAAGAAGAGGAATTCCAGTCCGGCAAAAAGTGTCCCTGCAGAGAGCTCCGCTATTTCTTCTGACAGTTCCTTGACATTTATAGCGGTTGCAACAATGTTTCCAAATAAAAAACATCTGTATCCTAAATGGATACAAATAGATACATTGTTGCAACCGCTATAAATGTCAAGGAACTGTCAGAAGAAATAGCGGAGCTCTCTGCAGGGACACTTTTTGCCGGCTGTAGACGGGATGAAAATTGGCCGATTTTTTTTACCATTGCTGGTAACGTCGGCCGCTTGAACGACCGATTTTTCGTTTTTTTTTAAAGAAAAATCGGCTGATTTTCGACCAGTCTATGGCCTGCATAAATGCTCCAGGAAAGGTCTTTTCTTGCTGAATTAATCAAAATGACCAC